TATTAGCGATAATAAAGCCAAATAACAGATCTATTAATCCGCTTGTTGTTTTTTATGCAGTCTGAGCTTCAGTTGAACGAATCTCAAAATAGAGGCGCAACACCTACTTTTCGACTATACCTAAACAGCTTTTTGAATGTGAAATCTATTTGTCCCAACAAAGAAGCAGTGGCAGTTCTAGATGAAATATACGTGACATAATTTAGATTACATCCATGAATTTAAAAATACAATTTGCATGTTTATGCATAATTTAATCAAAACTTATTATAATTCTTATTTAGTTACCTAAATCGTCTATTTAAGAGCATTGTAAATCTTTGCAATTTCCTAAATAACTCACGACTATCGGATATGTATTTTGACAGTATTTCAAGACACAGAATAATTAGAGCTGTGAGAGGAAAATTCCAGGTTTTGTTAATGAGAAGACTAGAGGCAGTGTTGGACTAACACATCCGTCTTTATGTTTTTAAGCAGGATTATCTAGGATGAAATCAGAATTTGTGCTGCAGCTAAATCTGCATTATGGACTTTAACAAATTTCATATTCAATTGACAGGTTGGTAAACCACCAGGGTCAGTAATTCTTTGACGTCTGAAGTTCTCGTTTTGCCTCTGATCAGCCATCTGCCTTATTAACTCGTCATCACAAAACTATGCAAAATGATGCAACTTAATTTAGCTGTATTGCTCTATCTGAATTCATAATGATTGACTGACTGACTGGTTTTAATGTAAAACTTTGCATAGATGTGCAGCAGTTCGAGTTGACACACTCCTTTCATGTAGAAGACAAAGCAAGAGAATGAGAGTAAAGAGAGATTCAAAAGAGAAATAAACAGAGGTATAAGGGAAAAACAACAGCAATATGGAAGAACAACATAATTTTATTTGATATTATAAATCATAAAGAGTGAATATATTTGAGAACGATTTTGAGCCATATCACAGATTTTCTTCATTCACTGGTTCTTACCATCCAGAGGACCCCAAATAGAGCGGAAGTCTGCACCTTCCTACGTGGCTGGCTTAAACTAAATGTTGTGGATTTCATTGACTGATGAGGCCGTGTTTTGATCTGACCACCACCATCTCTTTTCCAAAGTGATCTATGCTATGTCAGCTAACATTGCTCATTTAGGAATTCAAAATAAAACATATGTAAGAACATTCAAGTATTGGTTTTTTTAAAGGGATTTTGTTTGATTGCATGGAGGATTTGATCATGAGCTGACATCAGTTAGAGAACCACTGGAAAACCTGGGAGTACTCGACGACTGTTTCGTCCTAGTTTCGGACTCTTCAATGGTACGCACTCACCGGGATTCGAACCCAGGACATTCTGGTTACAAGGCGAGCTCTAAGACCATTGAGTCACTGGGACCCGATTCAATGGTCCTTGAATTCTAACTTCTGCTAATTCACGACATAGCGTAACCATTTCGCAATGTCTTCTTAGATGAGTTACTGTCTCATCTTCAAACTGCTGTACCCTACTGGTCACGGCTTCCCACTAGAACCCCAGGTTAACTGCCTGAATAGGGCCAGTCACTAGTGAGCATCAGATTAATTTTCAAGTATTGGTTTTGTAAGAATCTACTAATTTCTTTTATTTGTCTTTCAGTGAAAAAAACTATATCCGTAAGCTTTTCTTTCTCAATTATTCATAACAAAAGTACCATTCACAGACAGCTTTTCCTACAGTATTCAGCTTAGAGGTGTGCAAACCTACTCACCTTCGCCATATGTTTTACCACTTTTGTAAAGCAGTACAAACTCCTGATTTAAAAGATCTCAGATAGAAAGTCTGACTATTGTAACTACAAACAATTGATGCTATATGTCAGAATGGGCTTAAGTCGGCTTTAAAAGACTGCGGAGAATGAAATGGATGGCCTGAACTGTGTAATGCAGTTATAAAATATCAAATTCTTTTATATATTACCATTGAACTAAGCAGAAACTGAAAAACGGTGTTTCTCGATCGCTTTCAACAAAGGCAGAGATACTTTCATTGGTTATCACCATCTAATAAGCTACTAAGATGGATAAAGTGTAATTATGATTATTAATCTGACAAACACGCGTTAACTATTGTCGAAATGGTCACATTAAACCATTAAGGGATTAATACTGGAATCAGTTATACAATCGGAACGTTTTCTAATATTTCTCAGATATGTGTATTTTTATGCTAGTATAATTTTGTTTTTTGTGAAACCCGAGCTCTGTAATTTTCATTGCATGTCGTAGAGTGTTACATTCTAGGCTGTTTAATGTAAGTAGTTATATCTTTTTTTAACTGGTATAAGTTGGTTTTTGAAATCTACTTTCTTTCCCCCTCCGTTATTGCTTGATATTATCCCTTCTCCCTTCTTTCAATTTTTACAGAAAGCGTTAACCGGGTAGAAACTAATATAAAATTAAATGAGTATATTGCCTGACGTAATGTAATTGACAGGACTGAATAGAACTCAGATAAAATTGAAAGAGAGTCAAATTAAGACCAGTGTCACGTGGAGTAGAAATGTAACAGTGAGGAGGAGAGAAAAATAATATAATTAGAAACTAAGAGGATTAGGATTAATAGAAATTAAGTATCCAGCGTTAAGACAAATTAGGTCCATTGTAAGTCCGATGATTAAACAAATTTCTTCTGTATGGAGAGATCAGAATTTAACATGTGGATTACCATAGCTTCTTTGGTTTGAAGAAGTTTAAACCGTATTCTATTGGGAAAATTTCTTTGAACTCTTTAGATGGCTCTTAGTTGGTTTGCGGGTTCGCTTGAGGTCCAGAGTCGTTCAGTTGTTTTAGAATACAGCTACAGGAAAACCTTTTCTCTCTTTTATAAAATCATGAGAAGTGATATGTTTGGAAGACAAACTCTGAGTAGGGCTGACATACCTAGCCCCACAGGAGTAGCAGAATTGATAGATTCACACTAATGAAGCCAGCAGTGGTAGCTTATCCTTCAAACCAGTAGTTTTGTAGAGAAATTAAGTCGAAGTTCTAATACGAAGAAGGTTTTCTTCAACGATCAGGACAGATGTTCTCTTAGTATTTCTGTGGATGAGTCTCCATTGAATAGCAGATTCATAATAGAGAAGTTTCTTGCCAGTAGAAATTCAATATCCAAGATAATCTCCAAAAGTGAGGATCTTAGCAGTGCTTCATTAGCAAGAAATATATACATACTCTGATGTTCACCGAAAGACGCAACGTGTCGTAAATTTACTTTCATTACTAATTTCTAAAATAGACAAATTATATGATTCAAAGCAGAAAATTGTTTCTTTTCTGATTTTCCTTATTTTCTGAGAAGTTCAAACAATTAGATAATTTTTCGTCTGACTTTCATTATCACACTTTGTAGACAGACGATTTTTCATCTGTCTCAAAACCACCAAATTTTTAATTGTAATCAGAATATAAACAACTACTTTGTATGTTTTATATAGCTGAAGCTTAGGAAAATGGTTTATGGCTTAAAGTAACATAACATGCATAAATCAGGCAGGTAGTTCACACCAAAAGTTGACTAAAGATGAAACCGTCAGTCATTGTCATCTGGATAAAATTTTTATATATTTGTACGCTTATGTATTTTGTTTGCACCATAACCATTCTGGAATAGATTGTTTCGCAGACAAACTACTGATGAACGCTGTAATTGGACGAAACAGTTTCTGAATGTTAGCTGGTTTGCAAAAAGTGTTAAATTTCTGACTTAAATATAACTACTTTTAAAAATCAGAAGTCATATACATATTTTCTTTGCTCATAGTTAAATCGTTTTATACTCATCAGTGGAGCTGGTTATTATTTTTAAATGTACATCTGTCAGCACTTAACAGAATTAAAGAACTGGGTTCAACAGACGTTTCTACTCATACTTTGAAAATAACTTCGGGTAAAATTAGATATTACTGGAGTAAGCACATCATTATGTGCCTAAATTATCCTTACTAACTTCACAAAGATGAACACTGGTAATCAGAAACTGAAATTCTCTTTATTGGCATAATATAACTCCTCTAGTCAAGTGCACCGAGAAGACATTTTCAAAGCTAAATTGGGCAATGCGATAAATTAGTCAGTATTGTAAATCTCCCTTATTCGAATGCCTTCAGAAGCATCATAGAAACTTGAATTAATTGGTCAAATGTGAAACTTGAAAATTATTCTCAAATCATAAGTAACTGCAATTTTTTGCATTCATCACTTATTTCATCTGAAAGCTAGATAAACGTTACTTTTTAAATAACTATTATTAATAATGGGTCTCTTACACTCAGATGTGAAGTGTTTTTCACAAGACGGATTAAATATTCGTGACCAGTGTGGTACAGCAGGTCGGGTGTTAGGACAAATACTCGCCACCGATGCCATTCGCTAGTTTTCCCGCGATATCATGAATTGGCAGAATTTGGAATCCATGGTCTGGCCATTGGGTCGCTTAATGATCTACAAGCTAGCTCGCCTTGTAACCAGAAGGTCTTGGGTTCGAACCCTGGCGGTGGATGCGTACTGATGAAGAGACCCAAACAAACGAGCGCGGAACAGCTGTTCAATACCCCTGCAGGTTTTCCAATGATCCTCTAACCGATCGACGTTAATTCATGATGAAATCCTGAAACCAATCACCAACCAACACTTGAATACTAATTAAATATTTTACTTCATCACTAAATCGATATATATATTTTCTTCTGTGAACTCCTAGGCTAATGAAACACTAGATGAATTTCTCTAAGGTAGCATTTAATGTCATGACAGAAAAAGTATGTTTAAAAACGTCAAAAATGACTTTTAGAAATATTATCACAACATTACAATAAGTTTTAAAAAAAAGACAAAATAGATCAGACTTCATAAATATGACCTTAAAATATATATTTTTTTCTTTTTGTCTTCAAAATATTATTCACTGATTACATTGTATATTTGACGAAGTAATAGAAAGTTTTGCTGATCTAAAACAAAATAGGATCAAACTTTCCTCATTTAATCAGAATGATATTCAGAGTTGCGTTTATACATTATAGGATCAAAGTAGGTGCGTTTAAACATAATAGGATCAAAATAGGAACGTTTGAACATTATAGGATCAAAATAAGAACGTTTGAACATTATGGGATCGAAGTAGGAACGTTTGAACATTATAGGATCGAAGTAGGAACGTTTGAACATTATAGGATCGAAATTACGCTTGAATCCCGCTGGACCAAAATCCGGGTGTCTTTCGTTACCACTTGTCTCCATTTCATGGATTCTTGGATCATTATCTTCTGATTCAGTGAAAACATAGTGTCCGCGACTTGCATGCTGAGGCATCGTGTGTTGAGCATACGTAGATTGATGTCTAGGATTCTGATTTAGAAAACAAAAACAGGAGAAATATACTTTGTAAGATATTGAAAATGCTTGAGAATTTTAACCAAAAATGAATAATTTGTATTTCTTAACCTAAATCTTGATCATTCTAAACGAACATGTGTAAATCTGAAATTGATATATTATGCCAAAATCATTAAAACCAGTACTCCAGACATTCACTGACATTAAATTACAAACAACAATAATCTAATCACTGAGTTGGTGGCACAGCGGTAGAATGCTTGCCAACCCTGCCTTATGGGGTTCGGGGTTCTATCCTCGGCCAACGCACTCCTTTACCAGTAAAGAGGGAAGGTCGGGCACGAGGCTAGCAACCCCTTCCCATAAAACTAAATACCACTGCTACTGAAACTTCAAGCCTCTAGCTTGTAGCCCTATGTTCTACTGAGTACGTAAAAGAATACATGACTATGGCCAAAATCATACAAATTATTGTTTAAACAATATGGCGTTGGATAAAACTTTTAATAAAATAGAATTTAAGGAATCATTTACCAAAAAACAAAAAAAATAGAAAACCATCAGTCATTCAAGAATATGGTCGAAGTGTTGTTTTTTCTTATCAAATTTAAAGAAGAAAAGTAGAAGCAAACAAGTGCTTAAGATAAATTTCATTAATCTTTGAGAGTTGATCTACATGAACTGTCACATATTTCCTGGAAGAAAGACAAAAAACAGCTTTTTAAACTGTTACATACTTCTATTTATCTATTAGATTTTTTTTATTCCTTCACGTTCCCAGTGGAAAATACGGCTTCAAGCCTCTAGCTTGAAGTTTCTGTAGCTGTGTTTATTTTTACAGGATGGGGTTGCTAGCCTCATGCCCAACCTTTCCTCTTCACCAGCATTATTTCTGGCTTAGCGAGGTAAAGGAGTTCGTTGGCCGGGGATCGAACCACGAACCATGTGCATGGTCGGCGAGCGTCCTAACCGCTATACCACCGACGCACCATCGATTAGATTAATGCCTAGTTAACTAATTTCTGTTAATAAATTATTGGTTTTAGATTAAGTTATGCTATTCCCCCTTCTGAAATGTGTTCAAGAAAAGTAGTAGCAATACGTTTTCGTTTTTGATTCGATAGTTTCAGCAACCCATCACTCAGTTTTATTACCAAAATGTTTTCTAATACATTAAGAATTAATATACATGTAGAATGGTTTAAAATAACCCCTTGTTTCAATTAGTGTAATCGTTCCATATAACTATTCCTCCTAGTAGCTTGAGAAAAAAGAAACGATTTGAAAAGCAGTTGTTTTTTTTCTTTATCGTAGGATGACTTCGTAAAAATTTGATACAAAAGTAGCTGTATTTTTATCATCATAGTAAATGTGAAATGATTATGAATAGTTATTTGTTTGAAAACTATCAATCAATTAATAACACCATTCCACTGCTTAATATGCTTAATATGCCGGGGTTCGATCCCCGGCCGACGCACTCCTTTACCTTGCTAAGCTAGAAATAATGCTGGTGAAGAGGAAAGGTTGGGCATGAGGCCAGCAACCCCATCCTGTAAAATAAACACAGCTACAGAAACTTCAAGCTAGAGGCTTGAAGCCGTATGTTCCACTGGAAACGTGAAGGAAAAAAAACTGCTTAATATGCTTAATAAGTTAACTAAAATAGGAATCAAATGAATCTGATTCTTTGAGGAAATCTTCAAAGAATGTAAAAAAACAGACCTTCAGTGTGGACCATTATGAATCACTTGACTTAATGTAATGCTTTGTAACAGCTTGAGTAAGTCTACATCCCAAATTATCAAACTACCAATGAAATTCTTCGTTATATCTCTTTTTATGACTTCGATTGTTATGTAATTTATAGTTAGCTGAAATCCCAGAGAATTTGGAAGATACCTTCAGTGCTAACTACAAGCTATAGTTAGCGCTAAATATGTTGTTTAGAAGTACAATCACAGCTTGGCATTTAAGTCACCCAGCCTAGAAAACAGAACCACACCAAGTGCACCCATAAATCTTCCTTACTTTAAAACAGAAATATCATTGTGTGCTTGATTTCCATGAAGAGGAATAGCTAAACAGTTTGGTTTCCCGACCATTTACATCAAATGAAAACACTTTCTAATCAATAAACAAGCCAGAAAGGATAACTTCTTAAAAGATCTCATCAACTAGCTAATTACGAATATAAGTTCAAGGTCAAACGTCATTAATGACTAAATAATCAATTTTTAGCAATTAAAAGTTTACTATGGATGATTACAAAAAGGAAATGATCATAATATGAGTCTCTTTTTAAAACTATTCCTCATCTGTAATTAATGTTTTCAATGTAGACATTATTATTCTTTGACTACACTGCGACAGAATACCGTAGCTTTAGGGTCTAAAAGGTGTCGCTTAAGTAGCTTAACAGGCATGTGATAACTTTCATGCAGAAAATTCTCTTTTGACCACAGTCAAAAGTACATGTTTTCAGTATTTGCACATCAAAGATTATAACAAACAGTATGGTATTAAATTTAATCAAATTCTTGCAAAAAAAAAAACAATTGAAATTGGTATTTCTTGACAACATTCTTTAGAGACATAAAACGGTGAGATAGGTACATATTGTCTGCTTTGAAATCAAAAATTACACAAAGACACACAGCTTAAATATTGCAGGAAATATAATACTTGGATTTCATATTATTCGCTCCATATCTTTCATAATACTTGACAGATCACATTGTGTGGTCTGAATATTTTGAGTTTTCGAAAAAAAACTACGGTGAAATTTAACTTCGAAATGTGTGCTTGGCGAATATGTGGCTGCATTTACAACAAGCTGAAATTAAGGAAATTTGAATTGTCTCTTCTGTCTGTTATGAATCAGGTCGAGTGCTAGACAGCGATGTGGTATCACGACACCATGGACTTCTCTAGAAATGCTCATATCAACCAGTATTATGTAATACGTGATGTGATAATTAATCAGAATTTCTGAATAATCTTCATATTTGCTGAAACTATATTGTATATAAGACAAGTTAACTATCTAATCACAAGTATTCAACTAATTAAAGTGTAAGTAGAAAATTCCATTTCAGTTTTCAGTCATCCAGCTTTTCAGTCTAGATTATCAAACAAAGTGTCTAAATAATTCTTGAAGATGTGAATAAAATATAACCTTCTATTGAATTCCCTTTATTATGTATAATAACTGTTCATGTTTTTTTCTCCATAGTTCTGTGATGTTCAGTATTGTATAAAAATGAAGTACAATGTTATCAATTTTCCTCAAAGTCTCAATAAATGTCATTCTTGTTAAATAAGGGATTACTTTGCCACATGAAAAATCCAACATACCGGCCTACATATGGTTTAAATTTCCTTTCAAACGATAGATCAAGAAAAATAGTAACACTATGTCATGGCATTCTCATCAATAAATTTCATCATATATATTTAAAGTACTATAAATTCGTCAGTTTGCCTATGATGAATAATTTGTGTGAAAATCATAAATCTATGGAATTCATTACTGATTGTTCGATAAGAAAATAGAAACTAGTTTCTTCAAGAACACATACACATCTTGATTGTACTAAGAAGTAAGAAGTAAGTTAGAGTTTATCGTCCCCTATTGACAAATTGAAAGTACTAAATGTCGTGTATGCCTACGTGTTCATTATTTCAGTAATGAAGCTAAAGAGTGGTCTAATAACTTGTCTGAATTATCACCACTACTCATTCTAAGTGTATCTGCTCCACTGTTTACCAATGAAAACTCACATGACGCCTCACTAATTTAAACTGTAGAAAACTTTGGGTCATTTTATTATGGATGTTATTGAAAAACTGCCAGATTATGTGCTATATAAGTGAAAATTTGTTATTACTTTGTGTTTATACTAGGGAGCAGATGTAAAAGGAACGGAAAATATATATGCGGGATTGAGAATTATAATCAGTTGGTAATAATTTAATTGAATCCCTTAAATATCATTTATCACTGAAGCTCCAGTGTGACTACTTTCAACAGCGTTTTGCTAAGCAAGATATTTATATTGTGCAAACTAACTCATATCTTAAAATGCTGAATGACGCTGATATTGATGTAGGGCATATTTCATCATTTCTATGAGCTGGTGCACTCACCTATTGTGAAACTAATAATGAATTAATGAAAGGTAATCTCACTGCTGAGTACTCATATCAATAAAGCTTAGATATTGTGAGTGTGAATTATCATTTGACTCTTACACAAAGGATAACATATCCCTGACATCACTAAAAGCATCAATCTGGCTTCTGAAACCTGTGTTAAACTTGAAATGCGTAAACATTAAGGTATCAGTGTATAAATCGTTTATTTCAGCTAAAATATCTTTGATGAACGTCAGAAACAAGTTCTGCGCATGCAATATACTCACTGGCAACAAAACGCTATAACTGAGGCATTTATTTTCTGATGAACAAGAAGAACTGTTAAAATCAATTCGTACTGAAAAGGAGATAGTGCAAGCCAAATTCGTAAAATCTTAACCTTTTTCTCGGAATCAGCCTATATCTCAGTAAACTTGGATAGACTGTGGTTCTATCAGGCATCTTGATTTAGTAATCACTTCTAAGTCTTTATGTTGGCGAGTTGACACTACATCAGTAACACTAGAAAGCATGTCACTGTTTCAAGTTGAACTTGTGTAATGCGCTTGTAACGGTCATTTTGTCTAGTTTTCTTTTTAAAATGGATAAAGTTTGTGTTACCTGATTTTTTAGAGACATTTACTACTGTAATTACTAAACTCTCTACTCTCTAATGCCAGCATTCATGAAGCAATTACTGATCTATGAGTTAATTAAAGCAACATATATGATGACCATGGTAAACCGTATCTATCAGTGCATAAAAGTATTAAATTCCACTTCTAAAAATAGGCTATAATTAAATAAATAATACTAATATAAAAATGACAGTAATATATGACATTTTTGAGTAAAACTTTCAACTTACAGCATTACTGATCCCACTGATAACCAATATACTGAACAGACAAATAAATAATAAACGTCCAGTAAATAATTTCTTAAAATGAAATTCACTCGTATTCATCATGTTGTAGAAATTGTTTTATTTGGATGGATATACAAAAATAGAGACGAAACTTCTATTCAAGTCCTAAGTTGACAGTGTTTTTTTTTGTTTGTCTTTAGGCGAAAAATATGACAAGTTTGTCTGTGTAGTATTATTTAATAAGAAGTAAGCTGGTTAAACAGATGTATTTATATATTTATATACTGCAGTCAAATGAGGTACGCATACACACGTATGTTGTTCAGAATACTTATTATTACTTATATTCCTTCTATATTTGTCCACCTCCTCCTACAGATTACAAAGAAGTGCAGAAATAATAATAATAACAATAATTAGTCTAATAATTTTTCAACCCCAGAGAAATATGTCATTTAGTCTTACTGACTAAGTTTGAGTTTAAAGGGAGGGGGTTCTAGTAGTGGTAGTAATATTAATTAGCAGAGGTAGTAGCTACAGGAGTATTAGTAACAACAATATTACTAGTAATAAATGATTCAGGAAGTGAAGCAGGGGTAGAATTTATAATGGTCATTATTGTAGTAATAATAATAATAATAACAATGATAAACTGGTTGAAAAGATGAGGCATGAAGAAAAGAATAAAACGCTAAGGATTTAGGAAAAAATAAAAAAAGGCATAACTTCTGTTTGCTGAAATTCGATTTGGTAGGAGCTCGAAAGACTCAACTTCACAACACCCACACATATAAAACAAACACACAAACTTTTGTGCATATATGCATGCATGCAAAAATAAAAACTCAAAATAATAGGGTGATTATATATATATATATATTCCTGTTGTGAACGGTTATTGAAATTATGACTCGTATTGAGACAGTACATGCATAAGTCTGCGTGTGTGTTTGTCCACCACAATTTTTAATTCCGTAGGAGGAATATATTATTCATTATGGTTTATTATGTAAGAATAACCCGTAAAATGTTTAGATTGTTAAATTCACCATCATTATGATTTCGTTAAATCACCCTTTTTTTCAAAAAAGGTTCTCTAACCAAAAATAAACGGACTATGGCAATACTTAGTGAAACGACTACTCTGAATTTTCCCCTGATGCATGTAATGGGACTGAAATTGTTGGTGTCATTTGACTTGTCAGCCCTCAGTGAGGACAGTCCGACGATGTCTTAAAGTTCATATTACGTTATTTCGTTGAGTGTGGCTAGTAGTGGAATACAGTAGACCACTTTCATTTTATTTGGAATCTTTCAGATGGATGCATTGTGCATTTTCAGTCAGCTATAATGTTCCCATGGTACCTCGAACCCCGAACTCATTATTCAGAGTGCGAAAAACATAATCCATTGAGGCAAACCGCTAACAATAAAATAATTTATTAATATAAACTCATCTTTGAATCGTCTTTAAGTAAAGTGGAAATTTAAAAATGCACCAAAAATCTCTGAGCAATATAATCGATCGGCGGAATATTTAAAGCAATAATTTAAAAAACGAACAGCTAACACCCATTATGTGAACAAGATGACTCTCATGGTCTAATGGTTAAGTGGATAGCACCTTAGAGTTTGAAACCATGAGTTCTAGATTTGAACGGTAACACTCACTGAGGATGCATGATACATTCATCTGACGAGTTCCAAGTGGGATAAAACACTGGTTCTGGATTTCACTACTAGCCACTATTAACATAAAAGCTATAGGAACATATTTAAGTACAAAATATGTAGACTGTGATACATTAAATCCTATCTAACTTTGTGTACTATTTTCATATCGCCAAAGAATGTTTCGATTTCTACTACGACTTAATTATTCAGACAGTTCCCGCAAAATGTGTGCTCTTAAAAGAATACTTAATTCCGTAAGCAGAATTCTTTTTGTAACTTCCATCTAAAGCTGTAGAGTTATTTAGAGGTTTATATTAATGTTTAACTTAATACTCAGTTAACTAATGATTATTCATGACAGTAGTTGGAAATATGAGTAATTCATACGTGAATAACAAACTGGAAAAAACTTTCTCTTCTCAGATGTCTCACTGGACGAAACACTACTACTCAAGACATTCCAGTGTTTCTGACAATCCAACACACACAAATATTGACTGTATTACTCATTAAAATAAATTGAAATCATCTCACTTGTCGACACATTTACAATAAATTATTTCAATAAGCCAAAGTCGAAGGTCAGTCGAAATGAAATGGAATCAGTACTCTACTAGAGAGATGAAAGTCACGAGTGAAGATTATCTCATCTGTGTAAATACATCATACGAACTCCAACCAGATAGCTATCAATTCAACATTCTCACTTTCATTCTTAGCTGTGAGTTGGATACGGTATGGATTGATTGCGAGTCAGACAACGAACTTACTGGTATATGATTATTATTGCGTTGGATTCCGACTTGGAGATATGGCTTGAACACCACATCTCTATTTTATTCTCTGTAGTTCCCTTCAGTCCTCATTGGGTGGCTTCACGGTTGTTCATACACTCTCACCTCCTCCTCCTCCTCACTTGATCTCCATGTCACCCTAGGCCTCAAACCTACATTCAGTAAGTAACTTCCCTTTCTTTCAAACTCTCCCCCGAATAGTGACATGAAGATATCAGATGAGATCTCTGAATGCGTTTCGGAGCTTCCCGAGGCATTTCGTCTGGCTACGATGCCTTACAGTAACTTTATGTCTCGGTTTATGTCTGCAATGTTAGCTGGCCACAAAAATTATAGGTTACTGTTTGCTGGTAATAAAGTAAGTCAGGGTGTCTGAGAAATAACAATGTGTGAAAAATAGAGAATAATCTTAGGTAATAGAGAAAGTTGATAACTGAATAGTTAAGTGATGAATAGCCATTTAGAAATAGTTGATGAGAAACAAGAGAACAAAGGATTGAAACGGGTTACAAAATAAAAGAATAAGAATAAAACTACATAGAGTCTAGCATGCAACAATTCAGGGAAATAAAATTGATACTAAGACCACTAGAATGCAAAATGTTTGGATAAAATGTTTCTATTTTCTCTGTATGGATTGTAAGAGCTCCAGCTGCATAAAGAAGATATAAGCAAAATACTCTTCAGTAGCTTGATGTTTCTCTGTATATGACTCTAATAAAGTCTCCGCTGCTGCTGCTTGACCAGAAGTAATAATATTCTGCAGAATGAAGCTGCTACCTTTTTCTGCGTTCTCCTTTCGACAGCGATTCTTGTAGATGTTCATGAGTGCATCTAGGCATTGTCGTGCCGCTACTTCCCCTATACCTAACTCTACAGGAGTAAGTGAACAGGCAAATGCACATTACAGTTGCCAACAGCAGGATCTTTTATTCGATGTTTTGGTTGTCAACTCTCTAGATTACGTAAGACTATTCACTATTGTTCACAAACTGTTACCATTACCAGTGTACATATACACCACTAAATAACTGTACAACATTGAAATGAAGTTATGAAAAGAGATGTCTTTACTACCATATATGTTGTTAATTACAACATGTTCCCTTCGAATGAAGAAGAACAAGATTGGCTATTTAAAATGTGCACATGTTATTTTGAGGCTTCTCTTCAGCTGTGGATAGCTTTAAATATATACAGGATTAATGTAGTATGAACATACATCTTTTGTTATACTGAATAGAATTTATGCATGAAGACTGTGATTTAAGGAGACAACAATGAGTGAAACGTGATGGCATAACCATGACAAAAAGAAAATAGCTACATATCATAAGTTTGGATAAAGATTCGAGAATTTTCGGTAGATGACCTGACAACAAAACACCAGTTCATCAGAAAAATACAGTGGTAATTGTATAAAATAGAGCCCACGATTATGTAATGAGCAGGAAGAAATTGTTGCCAAAGTGAACTGCAACTAACCACGCTTTCTTCCTGTATACTCCGATTGGGTTTGAGCTGATTGGTAGCGATAGATTGACCAAACCGAAGTGAAGTTGTATTCCTTTGCATATTGATATTGATAAATGCAGTTGGAATATCCACTTTTTGTCTCGATTCGATTAAATGTCGTTCAATGGCTCTGGCAAGAAACTTGGGACGTTTGAGTATCTTGCTCTTTGAAATATGCTCAGAGAAACAAATGGATGCCCACCTTCTTTTCGATTAAGTGTACGTGTGAATTTGCAAACACACTTGAAGGGAACTTCTGATAGGTACCTGTCCACTTTTGACTGATAAAGATCACAATTAATGCTGTAAACATCAAGAATTTTTGATGCTGAATAAGCTTTTTGCATGGATAACTCTTAGTCTGTTGTTTATCTTGTATGATACGCCATCTCCTTTGAAACTTAGCTAGACAAATAATGGCTTCTTCTCTACTGTAATAGCGTTCTGTTCATTACTATAATTTCCTCCATATCGTCTTATAGATTTCTTTGAACACAGATTTTCAGAAAACTGCCCAACACTTCGTGCGATCTATCTTCAGAACCAAGGCTTCTCAGATCTTCTAAACTTATTATCAATAAATAACTTTTCTCTGCGTCAGTTGTAATCTGAATAAAGCGAGAACAACAGTTTTTGTAGAATAAAATGGTACTATCATTGCTTATTTCGTCGACTTCTCATCAGCTGCTTACAGGCCAAAGACATTATTAAGTTTATCTAAAGAAACAATTTTAGCAAAATTACACATAGAGTCCATTTTTAAACAAAAAATCGATATATACGTACTGTGGTAATAAGTAATTACTTTATAGCAAACAATAATAATTGTACACAATGGAAGCTTTCGGCGTTAAGTAATCAGATGTAAGAGAGGAAGGCAAGGAAAAACTGATAACCGCTTCTTTCTGAACACATAAATCACGTCTCAGGCGCATGTTGGAGATGGCTTCAGCAAACTTGAGGAGAATTGAACTCTTCCGCCTATTGATAATTTTGAACGATCTTGCAACGTCCACCTCATGACACGTGTCAAGGAGATACCTGGCGATGGCATTGTCTAAAGCATTTGTTCCCTTTAGACATAGGCTTTTTGGTACATGTTCAGAAAACCGTAGATATGCCCTTCTTTCTGTCCTTCCAATGTAACTCCTCCCGCAGATACATGTAAATTTTTGTTGGCAGTTGGAGTTAACATGAGAAGGTTATCTGTCGATTTCTGATTGCAGCAAAGAGCAAGTTGTTCGACAGACGGGAACCACCTTAGCTGCAGAATAGGCTATGGCTAGTGAAGTACTCAATCTTCTGTTGACAATTATTGTAATATTTTCACCTTTAAAATCAAGTTGAATGTAGATGGACATTTTTCCCAATGTGATATGTTTGAAATTTGAGCCTTCAGATCTTCCATACTTGTTAATGAATCTCTGAGGATAACCGTCGCTTTTCAACATCTTTTTGAGAAAGTTTTTCTCTAATTTCTCTGTAGAGCATATTCTCCTAGCCCTAAATTATAGAGTCTTGACTAGTGTTCGTTTAAAGCAATTTGAACAAAAACTATTAAAAATGTAAGTATTGTCCATTCCATGTAGGCTTTCGGTGAATTGACCTCTGGAGACTACCGTCTTCTAGGCATTGCCTGGCTATGTCAAGGTAATGGAACTTTCCATCATTTTCAGGTTCCGTAGTAAATTCAATATTTGTATGCGGGCCATTGAATAATCCGTGTAGGTAGGAAGCAGTTGTAATCATTACTCCATAACATTTCACACATTGTTTTTATCATAAACCACGATCTTTATGCATA